CGCGCTTTGAATGACGTGCTTTCTCCGAATCGCAGCAAAGTTGGCACGCGAAGCCTGACTTTGAATCTTGACTTTGAGCGCCTGGCTATTGCACGACATCCTTAAAAAATGGAGCAAACTGCACGCGCAACATATAATGAACATCATTATCTTATTTACATCTGTATACGGAGACGCATATTATCGTATAGAGAAAACTTACTAACATTATTATATTAGTACAAAATTGATGCGAGAAACATTCACACCGTAGAGTACACCATCGTTCGTACCAGGCAAATGAGAAGAAAAAAAAAAAAAAAAAAAAAAAAAAAAAAAAAACAGCGATCGAAGAAGAATTCCCATCGCATGGCATCAACAACTCGCGCGTGTACGAACCGGTCGCTCGTTAAAATTTACGCGATCCACCCCAACAAATACAATTAAACAAACAAAATGAGGTAAAGGAGCCGATCGGTGAGACGAAAAAATCCACGAGAGACAGGTGCCTTTTGACGTGTCCGCAAGCCTGGCGGGCCGTTGGCAGTGACGTCCCTACGGAGACTGACAGATTAAAGAAAAGAGGTAAGATGGGCAAGTAAAGCAGAACAAGTGCACGCGTCCTTGGCTGTGGGAGCCGAAAAACCGGTTGCTCTCGAGTCTCACGTGCCTGCACGGGCGCGTCTTTCTCGCTTTTCCTTTCGTCCGACTCTTTTCCTTCGGGCAGGTATATAATTCACCCGCCCCTTGGATGGAAGATTCACCGCTTTTGTGTGCTGTATAGTAGCTGCTATTTATCAGGTCATTTTATTCTTCATTTAGTTCTGATTTTACTTACCGATGGGATTGCGAAGAGATTTTAGGAAACGCGTTTTGGTAAAAGTGTCCACCAACCTGTGAAAAATTTGAGTATTTTAAGTTCCGTACTGATAGTGGTGTACCAAATTTTATTTTTTCGTATTTCTATTTAATTGTACAGATTTTTAAATAAGTTTGTTAATATTGTTTTGAAAAACAGTGACAAATCGTTATTTTTTTTACATGTAAAAAATTAATCCAATCGACAAAACAACTCCAAGCTTGAGTATACATTGCTTCCTTTATCCTTTTCTTTCATAATTTGAGTAGTTACAACTAGAAAAAAAAAAAAAAAAACCATGATCAAGTTTCTTGAGGAATTGATCAGCTAAATAAATAAATACCTTGATTTGTACATTCTTGTCTCATAAGATTTTCATTTTTGCTGTCTACTATGTTCTTATTATTAACAATAGTGTTTATTCATACTTGTAAACTACATGTCAAGTCCAATAAAACATTTAGGAAATTTTCATGGCTTTTTTGGTTTAAATTAAATACCTTTTTCTTAATTAATACTCTATCATTTCATCATTCATAAGACAGCGTTAATTTATTTATGATACTTCTTAACTTTGTTGATAGTTTTTATACAAGTAATATAATAGCTTAAAAGTTTAATTATTAAAAGTTTTTTTAACTAATCTTTAAGGTC